CCACCATAGTGGTGCTCTTCCCTCCCCTGTTTTGATCCCTCTCTCTTGTCCTCCTTGGACCTCAGGTCTATGGTCAGCTTGCTAGTTTTAGCTTTTTCGTGACCTTTTGTCCAGTTTCTTTATATTTCATGTAACTAAAACCATTTGACATTTATCTCTTGCCTTCTGGCTTATTTTAGATAATAGAGTCCTTTCCAGCTCCAACTATATTGCTGAAATGGCATGAATCTTTCTTTTTGATCACTGAGTAATATTCCATTGTGCAGAGATACCATGACTTTTTGATTCATTTGTCTGTTTTGGGGTGTTGGGGGTCATGGTTCTTAGCATTGCATTAATTCTGCTTCAAAAGATCATGGCGTTATTTTTTAAACATCCGTCTTATTGACTTTGTTAACCTTAACTAACACCCCTGCCATTATTTACTGGGCAGAGGGTCAGTAAAATTGAAAGAGGACAAAAAGAAAGGAATGAGAAGAAGGAGGAAAAAGGAAGAGAAGACACCAACACATTCTATATTCTGCTAGATCCTCATCTTCTTAGTTGAAACAGAATTCCTTTCAAATAAACCTGAAATAAGTGAGTGGGAAGGGCTGGCTGAAGAGGAAACAGCTGCACGTTCCTCTAAGTGGAGCACCATCTTGCTTTTTTTATTACATGGTGCTGTTCGGTTTACTCAACATGCATGCGTGTCTCTGACTGAAGTAGCATATTTAGTCCAAAAAAAGGTGATACTATTAAGATCTTACACCATCTATTACAGAACATTTCCGGATGCCATGTGTGTATCTTCAATTCCTCATTGCAAGATTAGCAACGTCTCAGTAGGTAGGAATTAAGAATTACATGCTCCATCTTGACTATAAAAGGGTTGACAAGGCACTTGCTTCTCTTTCTGCCTTCACTTTCCTTTTCTGTAAACGAAAAAGGTAGCTGAATATATTTTTTAACTCTTTTTCAGTGCTCTTTTTTTTTAATCTGGCATCTTCCTTTTCTTCCTTCCTATCTACCTATCATTTATTTATCTTTCTCTAGTAGTACTGAAGTTATTTCAGAGGTGAACTTAAGATAATGAAGCTTAAATCTCAGTTCTCATCACCAAAATCCTTCTAAATAATAAAAAAAATCATATCTAACTTGATAGTTCAATGTTAATATTACTTTACTGCAAAAAAACTCTCAGCGTTGTATATGGGTTAATGTCCACGAAAGCTGAATTTCTCCTGGGACGGGTTCAGAAAAAAAGACAGGTACAAATTAGAATTTCCAAATAGGAATCTAAAGGGAATAAGAAGAAAATAAGAGAAACATGAAGTGAGTTTATTCAGCAGACCATCCAGTTGAGTGGGTTTCCTAGTAGACAAGTTTGACTGGGGGCACCTGTAAATCACATAACTCTTGCTACCAGGAATGGAGAAAATGTTCAAAGAAACCAAGAATGTGCATGAATACTGAACTCTGAGAAATATCTCTGTGGAGTATTTTACAGAGCACAAGTTCATACTGTAAAGGAAAGTGAAGGCCAGAAGGCCAGTAAAACTGTTGCAAGATATGATTCGGTACCCTCCCTTCCCCACCCCCCTAAGTGAGGGCACCAGGAACTGACTGCTATCTACACCAGAAATCCTCAAGCAGGGGCTTGTGACCACCCAGCCCTAACAGCAAGTCACATCATGCAAATTTCCCAGCCTGCCAAAATGTCTTTATATACCCCTGATTCTAGGAAACTGGGGTCCATCCTGTCTGGGCGAGAACGCTGTGTCAGTACACTCCAGGGATTGGATCCTAGCCCAGACTAGCAATAAAGGCTTGTACTTGGCTTTTGCATTGGTTCTGTGTCTTGGCATTTCTTGAACTCTAACAATACCTTGACCAAAAGTGATACTTTCACTATGATGGAAATCTTAGAAACAAGCCATACATTTCTGCTTACGTATACATTGGACATATCTTGTGTCTGGCATTTTCCTGAGCAGTTACCAGAGAGACAGAAGGAAAAAAATATGGTGTCTGTCTCCACAGAGCTTTCATGCAAACCTGCAAGTCATAAAAAACAGTTGATAATTTGATCCTGGAAACCTGAAGAAATAGGTGTGTGACTGCAAATGACAAAGTTGCCAGTTTCACTGCAGAAAGATGGAGAAGAGTGAAGAGAAATTAACTTCTAAGCTCAACTTTAAAGATAAGGATATTCTTATATAATAATTGTCCCTTATGAAGGAAATGACCAACATGTCCATAGGTGATTTTCCTGATCATAATTTGACTCTTGTTCCTGTGACTTGCAAACCAGTTTCTGTTATAAGATGAAATCACCTCTGTGGATTACACACCCTTCATTAAATGAATGGTACCTTCCTGTCTTACCCCCTTAAGAATTTGAAAGATTTCTTAAGACTTCCTCTTAGTCTTTTTAATGGCTTTCATGGGTATGTTGAGTGTCCTAAGTTGTCTGTAGAGAACACAAAACAAAGGATTTGGATATCACAATGAGAAACATTAGGGCAAAGCATTTAAAAACATTCTAATAGACATCCCTTGGTGCTTGGTATTTTCAACTTCAAAAATCTTTATTCCAATGAGCAGTTTTAAAATCTTTTCAAAGCAATTCCCATTTCATAGCCATAGAATCGAAAGTCACTTGGCAACCCCTCAAAAAATTGCAAGCCACAAAATGAGGAAGCGCCTGAATTTTAAGCATCCAAATGTTAGGTAATAAAAAAACATCTTCATGAGGAAAATAGGCTCTCATAATGACCTTGCTTGGTGAGGTTTGTATAGCTGGAATGAACGTCTCTCCCTGCACCAGCGTCCCCAAAGGAATAGAAACATTTCTGCATCTTTCTAACGTATTCAGCTGCAGCAAGTACTGCATCAAACAGTCTTGCAGGCTTCTTCTCCACTGTGCCTGGTCCAGTACCCTGAGAACTTTGCCTTGCATTATGCATGCCCTTCTGTAAGTTTGAAAACACATGAAAAGCCTTTCCTTGCCATCCTAACTTCCATTCTCTTTGACAGATTACAAAAGGCAAGCAGTTCCTTGCCATGGAGCAGGATTTTCAATCATGGGGAAATTGGGATTTCTGCAATTGATACTAAAATTATGATGCTGCTATCATATCTCACTCAACAGGGGATTTGCAAAGGGGAAAACAAAAAGATTCAGTTCCAAGTTGCTGTCACACTGCGACAAAGATAGTTTATGGAATAGGGATAGGGATTCAGAGGTCCTTGGTAAAAATCATTTGGATTGAAAATCTGCTCATAGGACAAAGTTAAAACACAGAAATGGAAATGTGGGTTTTCAGTTTTGGTCGATTAGTGATCTGTAATGAAGCTGAAGCTCCATAAACTCTGTGCATTTAAAAAATCAGAGATTTTGAATGCATGCAATAACTGTAAGTAAGATTTCATTCCTTCCAGGGTTTTTAAAAAATCATGGTAAAGGATAATTTCTCCTTCTTCCTCCCCACTGAGAAATAGGGACATAGCTCTCAGTTTTCCAGAATGCAAAGCTAGAAATCTCTGAGTAAGTTACAATGATTCATTAAAATAAACAGAGGGCAGTTTATCATATTTAAATACGAAAATAGAAATGGAATGGTTCCTACTTTTACCACCTGTTAATACACTTCCATAATGTGGAGAACAGGTCTGAACAGCTCATTAACAGCTATCATTTATTGACAACGTACCATGTGTCAGACATTTTTATGGATTATCTCAGTCAATCCGCACAGCAGTCTCATGCAGGAGGTATTATTAGCCCAATGAGGAAAAGGCATAAAGAGACAAGAGCACCTGCCTGCAACGTCCAGCTAACAGTTGTAAAGCAGGATGCTGCCCAGTTCTGTGTTCCCATTCCTTGGTCTTACCCACATTAGCAGAGGGCACACATCTCCTGACTCTTCATTCTCTTAAAGCAATAATGTTAATTTAGTCCAGGAACCGGTTCAAATTTTCTAGGGAGATTTTTTTTTTTTGGTGTAACTTTGGTTTCCAACACTGTATGGTGTGCAGGTATTGCTAACTTCATTAGCAATAATATCACAGTGTTGTTTGCTTGATGAACTAAATCTAACAGTGATGGTAATTAGTAAAGACAGAGCACATACTACCTGCCGAGAAATATTTTGAGTACGTCACATCTATTAATTTATATAAACCTCATGACAACCCAAAGAGATAGAAAACTGAGCCACTGGGTGCGTAGCAGTGCATGCTAAGTTCACCCAGTATAACATGCTAAGGTTACCCAATATAACAGCTGAGCTTTAACGTGCCAGCCTGGCTCCCTGACCCTCCTGTTGACCTGGGGTTTTCATCAGGATCCAGATGAAGCACACAGCCAGGTTTATCCCAAATCCAATCTCATTCTGAAATGGTCCCACCACCTTAGCACAACCTGCAAATTAAAGTGGAAGCTGAAAAATCAATGAAATCCATGATCAGTATGAACATCCTAATGTACTTTTGAATTATTCTGATCAATTAAGTTTCTGTGGCAGTTTAATCCACATATCTGACAAGTAGAGGAGGAATAAAAAATGATGGTTTTGGAAAATTACTTAAAGTGCCAAGTAACATTCAGCAGCTAACACACATCTTACAACACAGTGTATGATCTGCACATGTGTCTGTATTTGCACAGGTCCACATAGAGTGTATTTGGTTTTCATATGCAGAGCATAAGTCTAGCTCACTCTCTGTTTTGAACCACATACAAATATTCATTAACCTTATAGACAAGCACAAAATGTTTGATGTCTTGGAGCAGCTGTTGAAGTTGAGCATTAATTTTCCAACTTTGATGAGCTCAGGAGTTCTGGAATGAAAGCAACATGATTTTAATGGATGCATTTTTTTTTCCCTGTGTCTGTTTCTTAATGATCTGAAAGTTATCAAGTACTAAGTTTCTGGTATTTTTATATTATCTTAAAGATGCCTTGCACTAATAAAAATTTCTAACAGCTTTTCTTTATTGTTTTCTTTCTCTCCAGGTATCCCCAGTATTTCCAGTATCGGTAGTAAGTAAAAAATCACCAAACCCAGTCAAGGCTAGCTTTGCTTTGTGGTTCAGTAACTCAGACCTATTTTCCTGGTATCCATTTCTGAGGCAAATGAGTATTTAATCTGTGAGTTGACCTGTTTGTTCTCTACACAGATAAGGTGAGAACACAGATAAGATAGTGTTATATGCAGAGATCCTCTGTGGTTATGGTAGAACCTGGGCTCTTCAGACCACTTTAGGTGAATGAAGGCCACTACAGCTCCCTTAACAAAAATATAAACTTTCTTATTTACCCCGACCAAGAAACTAATTGCACTCCCTCCCAAGGAGAGCATATAGACTCCTGTCATGGTTTACAAAAGCAGAGAACAAATCTAATGCCCGTGAATGCTTTAGGCATGTTCATTAAAATCCCAGGAAAACACCACAAAAGTAAAAGGAGGGAGAAGGGAATTTTACTCATGCACTAAACTCTAGTCTTTGTGAAGGCCTGAAAGATGCATGTTTGGATGGAAAGGAAAAAAAATTGGTGTCCATTTTTCCTCCTAAAATACAGTCATCCATGTTTTCATGAATATTTAGGTTTAAGTTTAATAAAGAACAGGAGAAGTTGGACTCCAGAGACTAGCAATTTCTGCAAGAAAGGTTTTAGGTAAAAGATAGATGGATGGATGGATGGATATATAGATAGATAGATATATAGGTAGATAGATAGATAGATAGATAGATAGATAGATAGATAGATAGATAGATAGATAGATAGATAGATAGATAGATA